TTTGAGGCCAAAGAAACAGGTACAGCAAGGTTAACAGGTAACCCGCCCAAGATCACACAGCTAATAAGAAGCAGAAGTTAGATGGGGACCCAGGCAGAGCAGCTGTAGGGAATGACCACTGACCATACTATTTTGGGAGAAAACTAGAGTGGTATGTTCTTCACTTTTGTGACGGTTGTCCACAGCTTTTAGGACATTTTTAATATAGCTGCTTGTTCAATTTTTCTCATCTCCAGGTTGGAAAATTTACGATTTATTTTTTTGCTATTTCTTTCTATCTATATCCCATAATACAATCTGTAGTTTTTAGTCAAACAGAAATGCTACTTCCTGCAGCTTCCAAAGTAAATAGATTGAGTGTTTATTTGTAGGAGAGTTTATCGTGTCTGCTCAGAAATGATTTGGGAATATGAGTTCTTTATGTGATGCTGAATTGCATGCATTTGAATATTTCAGAACAGTGTTCATGCAGAGCTATAGGGTTTTAAAAGTTTGCAATGGGTGTAAGTGAAGTCATGACTAAAAGTAAAAATGCAACATATTTCCGAGAAACAGAAGTCTTTTCCTCCTGTTGATAGTGGTACTCTGAATTTTTAATCTAGATCTGATTGAAGTTTCAATTCAATACCCCAAACCTGGAGCTCCAGGGAAAATTTCTGATGTTTTAAAAGGTGTTACCTATTAAGAAGGTAACTTGCCTTGGACCAGCACACCCACTTTTATGTGCTAATTAATGAACAATTTATTAAGTAAAGAGCATTGAATCTAGGTAAGATAATTTAAAGTCGTGCAAACTACTGTGATTTCATCTAAATTCAACCAAAATAGGCAGTTTTGCACATAAAAATATGTGACAGCTTTAAATAATAAATACAATCTGTAATCAGTGGATAAAGACAAGTGTTGGAACATTTCTAGTCATCTTACCCCAGAAGCAGTCCTGGTCTCTTTGTTTTAGGAAAGGTAAACCCAGAACTTACAGCAGAGGTAAAAACAAATGGAATGAGATCATTCTAGTCTGTTTCATTCTTCTATTGTTATTACTTATAGTAATATACAAAAATATATAACCTAGAGGTTTTAAAAATCAGAAAAATATGGGCAAGATAGTAAAGCAGAATACACACAAGTTATTTTTATTTTATTGTTTATATATGCTTGTATGTGTATTAGGACTTCTATTTTTATTTGCAGAAAAAGTCTGAAACTCGAAGATGTTAAATGACATTAAAAATCATAGATTTTCAACTTAAGCCAAAGCTTTTATACTCTGCTACTTCCCAGTCTGAATTCTGAAGCCTGTCCACAATCCTGCCCATGTCCATGTCAGATTTCCTTTCTCTCAGTAGCTGGTGGATTTCTTGAGAGCAGAGACCTGCATATCCAATTTCTGTAGACCTCGTGGCCTTCTGAAGAGCTCCTGATACATCAGTTCATAATCCCTTATCTGTATCCCTGAAAGCAAAACACTTAGACCATATACTGCATTATGTAGCAACTGCACCAGGCTCTGAGGCAGTTTTCCTTAATGGAATATATTAACATTCTTGCAGCATAATATATAAATAACTTTGTTAATCTTGTATTTTCCTGAAGCGATTAACATGTGAATTGCTGTTTTCTTTCTCTTTCCCTCTTTCTCACCCTTCCTTCCTCCTCTCTTTTTCTTAAAAATAATATATTCAAGGGTCCTGTTTTACACTCTATGCCTAAGTGTCTGAGAGTCTTTCAAATAAAAGGACTTAAGAAAGGAAATGACACAGATTGTCTGCAATGGTGTTCACTATTGTGACTTCTTGGTCCTCATTCTGCCTTAATGTATCAGAATTTCAAATGAATCTTTTTATGAAAAAATAAAGCAAAAATATATGGGTTTACTAAAATGATAACTGTTTTTACCTCTCCTGTCACCATGAGTCCTTTTTCTTTTTAAAATAGTCATTTGTGCATTTATCTCACTGGGAAGTTCTTTAAGGAAAAGCTAGTTCTGATTCATCAGTGTAAACATCAAAATGGCTTGGAATTAGTAGGTACCCAATAAATACTTCTTCGATTAAGTAAACAAATGAAACAAAAACTACTGAAACATTACAGAAGTTATAACATACCTAGATATAAAGTAATATTTCTATTTTGCCATAGATTGCCTATGTGAGTAAGCTGTTGTAGCTATAAACTGTAACACCTGCTGACAGCTTTAAGAAAACAGTTTCTTTCCAGTTAAAACTGACCTCAAAACCTGTGCTTTCTGAGGCAAAGAGGACAGGCTGACATTCTCCGTAAAACTGAGTGCAGAGGTTAGTTGTTGAAAGTCAAATATTTTCCAGAATGTCTTTAAAGCCTGGATATTTATTATTACTGGCTGAATACCCACCTGAATATTCATAGTCCACTAAGATAAAAGTATGCAGGTATTTTAAGTTACTGGTAAATGAAATGAACATTTTTGTGTATAAATAAAACAATATGAGCTGGGTGTGGTGGCTTACGCCTGTAATCCCAGCACTTGGGAGGCCGAGGTGGGCAGATAGCGAGGTCAGGAGTTCGAGACCAGCCTGGCCAACATAGTGAAACCCCTGTCTCTACTAAAAATATAAAAAAAACTAGCCAGGCATGGTGGCAGGCCCCTGTAATCCCAGCTGCTCAGGAGGCTGAGGCAGGAGAATTGCTTGAAGCCTGGGTGACAGAGAGAGACTCTGTCTCAAAAAAAAAAAAAAAAAAAAAGGCAACATGTACTTTTCAATACTGAATTCTGAGGAAAGATTGCCGAAGGACAGTGTATTCACTAGAGGAAAGGAAAATAAATTTGGCTTTTATTTTTATTCTGAAATTTGAAGCAGGTTGTCTTTACTGGTTCTCACCCCAAAATAACTTGCATGATTAGCAATACTTTTATTCTCTAATGACTTGAAAAAAGGAGAAATAGCTGGTAAAAATGTTTGAATTATACAATAATATTGATTAATATGGACTCAATATTTCATTTTGTATTCTCCATAATGAGGAAGCAAAGGCAACATAACTATCACGTCTTTAAATTATCTGGTCTTCTGTTCTGAGTGTTTTAAATATTGTTAAAGAAGTTTTTTAAAAGGCCCATGTGGTGGCCCATGCCTGTAATCCCAATAATTGGGAGGCAGAAGCGAGTGGATCTCTTGAGCTCGGCAGTTTGGGACCAGCCAGGCAACACGGGGAAACCCCCGTCTCTACAAAAATTGGCCAGGAGTGGTGGTGTGCGTCTGTGGTCCCAGCTGCTCTAGAGGCTGAGGTACAGCTTGAGCCTGGGAGATGGAGGTTGCAAAGAGCCCAGATCATCTGCAATCCCAAACTCTGCCAAAAAAAACCAAACCCTGAAATGTTTTCAAAGGGCAAATTCTCTATGCTGTTTCAACCACAGGTCCTGAACTGCTTTGTTTCTCTAAAAGTACTCTGCATTCATATCATCTTGCAGCCAATTCCACACTTGGTTGTAGAAAAAGAAATTGAGAAATAGGAAAACTTTGTCTTCACTGACTTTCTTCCTTTCCTCTTCTATCAGCTCCACCTGGAGTCTTTCCTTTTTTGTGGTCGATGCCCATGTTGCTGAGTGTTCAGGAAATCTATTTATCTTAAGAAAAGAAAATGATTTTACCTGTGGTTGAAAACCTTAGTGTACCTGCTTTCTTGCTAACTTCCTTTCTTGACTTGTAATATATTATTTCTTCATTTCATTACATTGAAATAATTCAGTACCTACTCCAATCTCATCACTACATTCATTCAAAGAGTCACATAAGCAACATTTTAAAGATACGGCCCCTGTTTTGCCAGACTGAATCTAATTGCAGAGGCAAGACAGACAATCACAAAGAGAGTGAATGACGCTACAAATTATTGTAGATTGAATAATGAGGTGACACGAAATGGGACAGTGAAATAAAAATGTCTTGGCTTTGGGAACCTGAATTCCAGTTGTAAATCTGAGACATGTTAGTTTTTTTATTATACAAATTGTATGAATTTTATGAAGTGCAGTGGTTAAGATCTGGGCTTGGATATCACAGCTCATCTAAGTCTTGTCTCTACCATTTACCCTCTGTGTGACATTACACAAGTTGTATAATTTCTCTAAGCATCACTTTTGCATTTTCAGTAAAGGTTGTAAGAATAAAGATAAGCAATGAGCATGGTGCCTGGAACATTTTTTTCTATTTTTTAAACTATATCCTTGAACAAATCACTGGCTCTGTTCCTGCATACATTGGGAATTATATTAATATCCTATTCATTTGGCTGCTGTGAGTATCAAAGAGAATAGGAAGGGGGTTGGAGTTCACTGAGAACATTCTATGTGTAAGTACATGAATGCATGACCAAATGAAAACAGAGCTGAGTACACTGGCAAGTGCCTGTCGTCCCAGCTACTTGGTAGGCTAGGACAGCAGTCTCTCTTAAGTCAGCAGTTGGAGTCCAGCGTGGGCAACATACTGAGACTCCCATCTCTTAAAAATAAATTAATAAAAACAAAAACAAAAAGAGAGGTAGAAAATGAGAATCAAACGTAAATATTTTAAAATATTAGATATTAAAAAGCTATTGAGGGGGATGAGAATAAGCTATTATTATTCCAATGTTATGGAAATGGAAACTGATGCTTATAAAGAATAGATAATTTGCTCAAGTTTACTCAGAAATAAGCAGATTCAATCTGGAAGCTGGCTATCTCTTAACAATGGTGAGAAAACTGAGGCACAGCATAGCCAAGGCTTAAGCCCACGTCTCTATGATCTTAATGTCCATGAGCTCATGGCCTCTCAAAAGGAACTGAATGAGGAAACTTCTTTCCTACACTAGACTAAGGGATATACAGCTGGGCAATTTTAATGAATGGGCAAATGTCTCACAGGGAGTACAGAAACCAAAGTTTGAAACAAGGTCTGCCTCGTCCAAAAGTCTGTCCTTATCCCCGCATTCCACTGCTTCGTTTATTTCGTGACAAACCCCTCACAGGTGAAACTTACTCCTCTTGGCTTCCTCTAGCTTGTCCTTGGCCCGTTTTTCTGCCTGAAGGAGCTGATGGATCCCCTGAGTCTGGCTGGTCATGGTAGCCTGCTCCGAGGAAGTGGCTCCTATGAAATCTGGGAAATAATGGGTTCACGTACCCTTTTAAAAACGAACATATAACTCAGATTGCTGTGTCAACAGTGAGTTCTAAACGCAGCTGTTTGTTTCAGACTGGCTGGATTAGGCTGGATAGCTGGGTCCCAAGGAAAGCCCAAGGTGGAATCTAGAAAAACAAGTAAAACCAGTATGAAGAAATCGAGAACTTACCATTTCTGCCAGTGTTAGCTCTTCTGTATGAAATAAGGAGATATAAATGAGGTGTTGCCTCTACTTATAAATAATGAGTAAAAGTCCTTGTAGAATATTAGTTTCCTATTCTTCCAAGAATTCTTGACATGTTTACTGAATTTTTCTTTTAAGAAACAGTATCTTTCTTTGTTCTTTGTCGGTGCAATACTTTGTTTCAGGTCTTTTAAAAATATGTTTCTAGCGATACAGTTATCTGCTTAGAGAAAATGTATTAATCCTTTGCTAAGAAAGAGGTTCCCCAGCTTTGTGCATAGATGGTGGACTAAAGGCTTTTTTTCCCCCACGGTCTCAGGTGACAGGAATGAAAAGATTTCTTTTGGGCATTGTGGTGCTCTTAAGTAATGCAGTAGGCTGAGGTTCCAGGGACATCTTAGTGTGGTGGCTAAACAGTGAGTGATTTTAGTAGTAGTAAGCGTAATATAGATTGATTATAACTGTGTGTTGGGGGTAAGGGAAAATAATTTAAACATGCATTTTGTATTATTCAGTGCTTGTGCTGGGTATTGTTCTAAGATAGTACAATAAAATCCATCATACTTGATTTGATTCGATTCAGTAGCAATCGGACAAATGAGAATATTGGTCACAGAGAAGAATCATAAAGCATCATTTATATGTATCTAAAATTTTTATTTGAAGTGAAAAGCTAATCTTTTGACTTAGAATAAAGCCTTTTCCTCTGACATGATTTGCAGATTGGAGTTTAACATATTACTGCTTTCATAAACTATACCTCTTTTGCCTCATCAGTAAGTGCCAGGTTCATTTTCTTTAATAAGGTGTTGAGATTTAAAGACAACTGTAAAACAATCTGGGAGCTAAATCTTTTATGGTTTTAATGATTATTTTCTCCTAATCTTTTCATCCATACCTACATGCCTATATTATGTGTGCATTACCTTCAGCAAATATTTCCAGAAGGAAAAATTTTTCCAAGTAAAAGGATCACTTTTACTTCTTTTGCAGTCACATTTAATCAGCTTACAAAGTACTTAATTTATAGTGCGTAATTACAATAACTAGTGCAACTGGGATAAACCAATTTTTGGACAAGCACAACTCTTGTCTGATCGCTCTGGACAAAAAGATACAAAGTGGCTTAACAGGAAGAAGCCCTGGAGAGGAATAAGGCTTTGGGAAGAACCCAAAATGGAGAATTAGAATGAATTCCATCCTCTCCTGACCCTCAAAAATTTACTTTCTCAGTGAAAGTGAGGGATAGAAAAATCTACCCAGAAGCAGAGAAAGATGCCAAAGAAGCTTCTCATGTCAATCTGGGCTCTGGGTGGGGGAAAAAAAGTAATCACACTCCCAAACTTATGTGGGTTTAAACTGCCACAGCCTTCTGCAGATATAAAACCATACTCAACACACTCTTTTTTGTTTTGTTTTGTTTTGTTTAATGTATTTTAATAGCAAACTTACAGGAACAGCACAGAAGACAGACAAGGTTAAAGACATGTACTTGCATGTAGGACAACTCAGAAAAGTATAGTGAATGGATGGAATCTACTGTATGATAAAATGCTACAAACACCATTTAGTTGCCGTCAATAAGAAATTTACTTGTTTTAAAAAGATCCAAATGCTGGCATTGTCCAGAAAAATTTAACAGGTTTATTTATAATTATTATAAAGTTGAACCGCTGAAACTTGTTCACTGAAGCATTTTAACTTGCATTAATGCTTTACGTCTCCGCATTTATATTAAAAATTCACACACAAATGAAAATGGAAAAACTGCCAATACCTGATTTCTGTCCCCTATTTTTCCACTTGCAATCATATACTTAGGTACCTTTTGACCCCATGGAAAAAAAATTATCTAACGTTCAGAACTACCAGTAGCAGGAAGAAGAGAATTTTTTTTTTTTTTTTTTGAGAATGAAATGTTTCCCATCATAGTGGATTCTTAAGCACGCTCTCCACGTATGCGGCGTGCTAGCTGGATGTCTTTTGGCATAATTGTTACACGTTTGGCATGGATAGCACAAAGGTTGGTGTCTTCAAAAAGGCCAACCAGCTAGGCCTCACTTGCCTCCTGCAAAGCACTGATAGCTGCGCTCTGGAAGCGCAGATCTGTTTTAAAGTCCTGAGCAATTTCTCGCACCAGACGCTGGAAGGGAAGTTTGCGAATCAGAAGTTCAGTGGGCTTCTGATAACGTCTAATCTCACGGAGTGCCACAGTACCAGGCCTGTAACGGTGAGGCTTCTTCACCCCTCCAGTAGAGGGCGCACTCTTGCGAGCGGCTTTTGTAGCCCGTTGCCTCCTGGGTGCTTTACCACCGCAGATTTGCCGGCAGTCTGCTTTGTTCGAGCCATGGTGTGGAGACCTCCTTACTTACCCCCTTCTCCTTCGGCTGGAGCTCGGCGAGCGAGAGGCGGCGCTGGTGTTGGTGAGCTGAACACACTCTTACAATCTAAATTGCAAAACAAATGAAAAAGTGAAGTTGAGGAGAGGTAGACAGTGTAGCAGTAGGTAGAGGTAAAAGCCTGGCTGGAGAATTTAAGCTTTATTATAGATCCATGGATTATTATCATACAAATGGTTTACCTGCTATAAGAATTATTCTTTTGTTTTGATCAAAGCTGATTCCTAATGTGACTTTTCACTGACAAACTCAAACATTTTAAGGGTAATAGCATTTCAAAAACTTCTACTTATAGCAAAGATTCTGAGTTTATTCTTTAAATGTTTTATATTACTGAGCATCAGTAAGAGAAGCTTTTCTTTTTTTATTCACTAATGAAATATCTAGGTGCTAGAAACTGGGTACGATATTTTACAATTATGTATATTTCCATATTTAATTTGGTTCTCACATGGGTGTTATTATTATGAAGCACACCAATCTTATCAGTAAAGAAACTAAAGCTCCTGTAAAATAAGCAAGATGAGTGGTTAGGGAACTGCGGCTCAGAAAACCTGAGTGACAGGTCCAAGGTCAGGTGGCTTCTAAGTAGAAGAATTGAATTGGTCTCATGGTCACTGTTCTGGCTGCTGAACAATGCTGTCTCTCATTCCAGGAAAATTTTCTTGCAGTTTCTCTTCTTTTTCTGATTAAAAATATGGAAGAAAACAAAGAATATCCATTGACATTTCACTCTGTGTAAAAATATTAGATCTACAAATCACTTTAAACGCTGTGTGCTTGAATAATTAATAGTAAAAATATCAAAACAAAGTGAAATTTGACTTAACCTAAGTCTCCTTGACTTTTGAAAATTCCTGAAGAATTAACATTTCAAACAGCAAGAGTTTTTCCTATCCCATTTATTTTGTATTATTTGTTTTGGTCTTACTATTTATTATAGTCTACTTTATTTTTTATATTTATATACCTAGAAATTAAAACAAATAATATGATTGCCTTCTAATTTGAGCACTGTAAGTCATTTTTTTGTTTCTCTGTTAATGGAATATCAATGTTGATGGTTTCTATGTGTAGTAGATAAACACGATTTATCAATATTATTGTTGTTTATTATTGGTGTTATATTATGATTTCAGTTTCAATGATAAACTGAGAATTAAGATATATTTTTTTATAGAAATCTCACAATGTACAGAGGATTTGTTTTTTCAGGTAAGATAGAGAAATGGATGTTAGTCACAGTAGCTGTATAAAAAAGGAAGTATAAGACTCAGTATAGTGTATATTTAGGTCACTGCTTTTTGATTCTCTTTCTTAAATTCTTTCATATTTTGTTTTTATCAGTGAAAGTGTAAAAAAGTTACTAACAATGATAAAATCCTAAAAAACACAATCTGTGCTTTTTGGAAAAATTTTGAATGTTGAATGTTGAAAGATCATAGTGAAATATACCTCTTATTTTTGCATGTCCTTAACTTGATAACTTATCCTCAAATGTTTTGAATAGCTGTAATTATAAATTTGGCATATGTTCAGTATATATCTTTTGGGTTTCTCTTTTTTTAAGTTTCATTTCTGCTCAGACTTCGTCTTACTATTTATTCTGTCATTGCTCCTGTATATTTCAGTTCATCATATGATCCTTCCTTCTTTTGCTCACATTGGTTCAGCATTTGAGTCTGAATAATAGTGAAAAGTAGATGAAATTCTGGTTTTCTAAAGGCCTGGAACTTCTAGGTATCTCAAAACTGCTAAATTCAATCTTTAAACAAAACCCTAAGGCTTGGTCTGGGTGTGTCTACAGAACATGGTATCCTTCTTCATTTTACTTACTCATTTTAGCTGAGCAGTAATCCATAAAAGAAATATACAGCAAATATTAAACATTTCAAATTTTCTCATGTCATTTTAAATTTTCTTATACATAAAATAAATACACATCAAATATCGAACATTTATTTTCTTTCATTTCCATTTGAAATAAAGAAATGACTCTCCTTCTTTTTGCCTCTCATCCTCTGATTTTCTCTGTGCCTTTCGTCAGACTCTTCCTTATCGCTGGGACACCTGTCTGACTCTTGCTTGCCTCGAAAATAAATCATTCAAAATCCATTTCCAATGTCTACTTGAAAGGATGAAACTTTCCAGATCCTCTTAGGCTGATCAATTCCTTCTTTCTCTGATACATCTCAAAACTTTTCATGTATACCTGTCATAGGGCATTTCTCAAGCATCACTTGTGCTTCTTAACCATAAACCATGAGTTATTTGAGGATAAATATTGTGCTTTGCTTGTGGTTGTCTCTGGAACAGTGCCTTGCACACAGAGGGCAACAAATCATTTTTGAATATTATGTTGATTCTTTCAGCTGAAGGACAACAAAGAACTCCATTTACTACGAGAAACTTAAATGAAGATTCTGCTATATCTCATA